TTCAGGACCAAAGCACGCCGTCCGCCGGCAGCCCCTCGCTCACGCACCTGCTCCTTGACGGCATCGAGCTCAGCGCTAGACGCCGCCGCGCCTGCTCCCGCTTCTCCCTCCGACCACGGCCGACCCCGTTCGGGAGACGGCGGCGGCGGCCAGCCTCTCGCCCCAACATCGGCACCTGCGGCGGCACCAACACCGATGGCGGCGGGTGGTTGCGCACCGCTCCCGCTACCGGCAACTCCCAACTTGCCGCCCGTGATGTCGCCGCCCGGCCCCGTGGTACGCCCGCCCCCGGCCGACACTGGCACAACCCCTCCCGATCGCGCGGGCGGCTTTTCTTCGCCGCTGATTGACACCGCTCGGCCGTCTGCGTCTCTAACCACCGCCGCCGCGCCTTCCTTGCCGCCTGTCCCCGGCAGAGGCTCCGCGGTATTAACGGCGGCGGAGGGGGGGGCGGCAGTGGCGTTGGAAACTCCCTCGGTGACGTGATCGTGGACACGCGCGAGCAGGGGCGCTACCGGTTGTTGGTGGGACACCGGACCCACGGAATGAGGGCCCTCCCCGCGAAGCAATCCGAGGTCATTGCGGCGAGGACCCTCTCTGGCCGCAGCGGGGCTGTCTCTAGCTTGCAGTCGGCGGTGATGGTCAAGTTGCCGGCGTAGTTCCTGAGACACACACACGCATTCAAACGAGGATCAACGAAGCCCAGCAGATGCATGTGCCGCGAGAGTAGGACGCGAAGCACGAAGTGCGCGAGTGACCGTGCTCAAGAGTGCGGCTGCCACCCACAGCCACAACTATCGCCGCGCCCAGGTTGGCTGACGAGCCTCACGTCTCTAAAGTTCGGGCGAAGCTCCATCCACACCAAGCCGGGGAGTCGGAGAGAAATCAATCGAAAGACCCGGAACACAACGACAACGACAACGGGGGGGGGGGGGGGGGGANGGGGGGGGGGGGGGGGGGGGGGGTAACCAAGGATGGCACCGGGTTTCTCACATCTGCTTGCCCCCTCGCCTGCCGCAGCTCCTCCGCCATGGCGGTGCGATCGGAGCGTTGCACCGCCGCTTCCGCCTCGGCTTTCCGCGCCGACTGTCGTAGCGTCCACATTTTCGGCCATGAAGAAAGGACAAGGGTGGGTAGGGAGCAACAACCCAAGCGCACGCAGGGGGGCGGTCGTGAGACCTGGCGCCAATCGCCACCGCCGACCCTGTGCGCTTGTGTCCGAGACGTGGAAGTTGGCGTGCCCACACGTTTCGCGGCCATCACAGCAACCAACTTCTACCCGACGGAAGGACAACCGATAGAGCTACAACAATACCCAACACGACAGCATTTGTATATAATACGGCGTTGGCAGTAGTCACCTGCGCGTACTTCTTGCTGAAAAAAAGCGATGCTTTCGGCGGTATCTTCCCCCCCCCCCCCCCCCCCCCCCCCCCCCCCCCCCCCCCCCCCCCCCCCCCCCCCCCCCCCCCCCCCCC